TGTTATTCCCTTGGTCAAGAAAGGGAATAGGGATAGCCCTGGGAATTACAGACCAGTCAGTCTTACTTCTGTGGAGTGCAAATTATTGGAGAGGATTCTGAGAGATAGTATTTATGATTTTTTTTGGAAAAGCATAGTTTGCTTAGAGATGGTCAGCATGGCTTTGTGAGGGGCAGGTCATGCCTCTCAAGCCTTATTGAATTCTTTGAGGATGTGACAAAACACAGTGATGAAGGTAGAGCAGTGGATGTGGTGTATATGGATTTTAGGAAGGCGTTTGATAAGGTTCCCCATGGTAGGCTCATTCAGAACGTAAGGAGGCATGGGATTCAGGGAAATTTGGCTGTCTAGGTACAGAATTGGCTGTCCAATAGAAGTCAGAGGGTGATAGTAGATGGAAAGTGTTCAGCCTGGAGTTCGGTGACCAGTGGTGTTCCGCAGGGATCTGTTCTGGGGCCTCTGCTCTTTGTGATTTTTATAAATGACTTGGATGAGGAAGTGGAAGGGTGGGTAATTATGTTTGCCGATGACATGAAGCTTGGTGGAATTGTGGATAGGGTTGTTGTAGGTTGCAATGGGATATTGACAGGATGCGGGGCTGGGCAAAGAAGTGGCAGATGGAATTCAACCCAGAAAAGTGTGAAGTGATTCATTTTGGAAGGTCGTATTTGAATGCACAATATAGGGTTAGTGGCAGGATTCTCGGGAGTGTGGAGGAACAGAGGGGTCTTGGGGTCCACGTCTGTAGATCCCTCAAAGTTGCCACCTAAGTTGATAGGGTTGTTAAGAAGGCAAATGGTGTGTTGGCTTTCATTAGCAGGGGGATTGAGTTTAAGAGTTGCGAGATTATGCTGCAGCTCTATAAAACCCTGGTTAGACCACACTCGGAATATTGTGTTCAGTTCTGGTCACCTCATTATAGGAAGGATGTGGAAGCTTTAGAGAGGGTGCAGAGGAGATTTACCAGGATGCTGCCTGGACTGGAGGGCAGGTCTTATGAGGAAAGGTTGAGGGAGCTAGGGCTTTTCTCATTGGAGCGAAGAAAGATGAGAGGTGACTTGATAGAGGTTTACAAGATGATGAGAGGCATAGATAGAGTGGATAGCCAGAGACTTTTTTTTTAGGGCGGAAGTGGCTATCATGAGGGCGCATAATTTTAGGTTATTGGAGGAAGGTATAGCAGAGATGTCAGAGGTAGGTTCTTCGCACAGAGAGTGGTGGGTGTGTGGAATGCACTGCCAGCGGTGGTAGTGGAGTCAGATACATTAGAGACATTTAAGGATAGGCACATGGTTGATAGTAAAATGAAGGGTATACAGGTTAGTTTGATCTTGGATTAGGATAATAGGTTGGCACAACATCGTGGGCCAAAGGGCCTGTACTGTTCTATGTTCATTCATGGGAAAGGCCAGGTAAACCCTGGACTCAGTTACATGTTGACTATGCAGATACTTTTATGGACTCAATGTTCTTAGTCATTGTGGACGCCCACTCAGAGTGGTTGGACATGCATAGACTTCATTTGTCAATCACAGGGATAACAATAGAAAAAGTGTGTGCATCGTTTGCAATACATGGGCTCCTGGAAGTGTTGGTCACAGAAAACAGGCCATCATTTACCAGTGGGGAATTTGAGTATTTCCTAAAGTCGAATGGTATTTGACATATAAGGACAGCTCCATTCCGTCCAACATCCAATGGTCTGGCAGAAAGACCAGTCCAAATTTTGAAGGCAGGCTTGAAGAAACAGTCTACAGCTTCACCAGATATCAAACTGTCCTGGTCCATATTTGAATATAGAACCGCCCCTCATGCAACTACAGGAATAGCTTCAGCAGAGTTGCTAATGGGGAGAAGACTCTGCACCATGTTAAATCTGATCTTCCAGGACCTGGAGGTGGGGAGGGTGAAACAGCATCAGGAGTGCCAATGCTGGACTCAAGACTCCGCTAAACAAGAGACACAGTTTACTTCAGGGGATGAAGTTTGATGTAGGAACCACAGGAATGGCCCTGCATGGGTAAGAGGCATGGTTGACATCAGGTCAGGTCCAGTGACGCATAAAGTTCAGGTTGGTGCAACGGTCCTGAACAAGTATGTGGATCATATAAAAACTGCAAACTCGCAAATGGCACAGGAGAAAAACGTGCTGGGTTCCTCAACTGCCCTTCCAACTGTTCTGGAACCTATGGGTTCTCCCACTCTGTCAAGCATTGAAAATACCTCGGAATTTGAGATGGACACCGGCGGATGTCACTGCCTCGACACCTTTGTCGCTTGAAGAGGAGAATGAATTTCTTCTGAGATGCTCCATGCGCAAGAGGCAAGCTACTTTGCATTACACGCCGCCTGTATCACAGGCAGAGTTGGAGGAACCTGACCCGGTGCGAAAATGCCCCAGGAGGTGCTACAAAAAAAAAACTGGCCTATGTCTTCAGACTCAGAGGGGTAGTGATGTAGTGATTGTAATGAGGTCATCCAGGGTGGACCTCAGATTATGAGTTCCCTCATTGTGGCTGTTAATCTGGTCCAATCAGGGAGCTCTGGCTGACAGATAAGAACAGGAGTGTCACACATCCTGTTCAGTATGAGAACTGGCTCTGACGAAGCTGGATCAATATCAAGGACTCTCCACATGTAAATAGTGACTTGGTGACGGGATACTGGCCACTGTGGAGTTATTTTAGACCCATTGTGTCTGCACTGACTCTGAGTATTTTACCTTAGTGCCAGTCTCTTGTCTTTCCTGTATAGCACTGCACATTGTTTCTGTTTAAATAATCATCATCTTGAATACCTCAATTGAACTTGCCTTCACACTTCCAGGCAGTGCATTCCAGGCCCTAACAACCTGCTGTGTGAAAATAGGTTTGGAAATAGTTAAATTTAAAATACAGTCTCATACAGTTTTAAATTGGAGGCCTGTGGACAAATTGCCTCTGGGACCTGGCCAAATGTATTCATCCGGAAACAGGGGCATTGTTCTGGGTACTGAATAAGTTGTATTTGATCGAACACTATCTGGAACTTGGAAACCAGACAACACAGCCCTCTCTTGCTCATGACCATTCAACGTAACAATTTGCAAAATTGTGCCGTTTTAATCAGGAATGATTAACAAGTCTGAGTTCATTGCGGTTTGGACTTATTCAGTACAAGGGAATTCTGAATAGACTTCAGTTTTGGCAGCGAATCTGAACTTCGTGGATTGAACTGATATTTGTCAAGGCCATGTTCACTTTCTCATTTGGAAGGTCTACAGAGACCAACTATAAGCTTTGTTGAGAAATCTTGCTGGTATTGGATGCTTTGAGCGATCTTAACCCTTTTATGACCTGTTTCCAGTTTTATTTTCTTTTCTAGATTGTACTTATTCAGTAAATTGTTGAAACAGTTTGGATAACTGAAGCCATGGCTTTTAGCCCTTTTATGAGCTAAGTGCTCTTGCCACTGATCACCTTGCCTCCCCTCCCCCTCTTGCCCTGTTCCTCCCCGCCACGTTCCTCCCCTCCCATGGCACTGCCTAAGGTTAAACTGAACTGTTCGTACACACTCCACATCCAATTTGACTGAGAGGTGAACTCCAGACTCCATTGGCAGTATTTAATTCGGGCAACAGAGATCTCGCCTGCTGGCTGAAAAGCCAGTAAAAGCTCCATTATCTCCTTTGCTCAAGGCATGCTGCACTGAGTTTCGTTCTAGCCAGTTGCACCCCCTTCCCGGGATCAAGGACCCTACAGAATGCAGAAATATTTTGGGGTTTGTTGAATGATGCGTCCACCTCCCCTGCTGGTTGAATATCCACTTAGGGGCCTCAACTGGCAGTAGGGTGAGAGGGCTGGTTATGAGCTGTACTTAATTGGGGGAGAGGCAAGAAGGTGGTCAGCATCATCCCATCTGATTAAGTATTCCCTGGTATCCAAATGTTTCTTGGGAGGCCATGAAATTGCATCTCATGTTCATTTCATTACAGTGATTGATTGCTTGCTTCCACCTCAGTAGCATTTCCCATCTCTGTTCCTGCCCCAGCTCAATTCCGCCAAAATCCTCATACAGACATTTCTCTCCAGACTCCTGTCTAGACAACAATTCTGTACAAATTATATCTCATCTATTCAGTATTAAGTATGGCTCACTCCATACTTGCTGACTTACGATCTTTCCAGATCTCCCAACAACTTAATTTTAAAATTGACATCTGTAAGTTGAAAACCCTTCATGGCCTTAGCCCTCCTTCTCTCAGTAACCTCATCCAGCTTTATAGCCTTTCAAAGAAAATCTGTATTCATCCAGGTATATCTTTACGTAGCTCACATTCCAAACACCCCATTGTGTCTTCACCTAGCTTTACCGTAAACTTTGGCATTCATTCATAAATTTCTTCATCTTATCTTCACCTGAGTCTGTCATTTCAAAACTCCTTAAAACCCAGTTATTTAATCAGGCTTTTAATCACCTTCTAATACTAATCTTTAGCTGGCTGTCATTTATTGTCTGTTAATACTTTTATATGGGATGCTTTGCAGCACTCGATGCTACGTAAATATATTTTTGAGGAAGTCGGATGTAGCAGGGTTCAGTCATGTAGTTTGTAAAAGGGTTAGCTCTGGTGTGCTCAGGGAAACTACTTCAACTATTTTTGGTCCATAAGCTGCACTGTAAATGCACTTAACTCCTGCATCCAGTCCTTATCACTTCTTTTTATGTTTCAGAATTCTTGAGCCCTGGGAAACCTGGAGTATTAAAAGTAAAATTTCCCTACACTTTTATCTTTATAACAGTGGGAAGGAAGTGAGATCAACAGGAGAATATTTCTTTAAGACAAATATGGCAATACTGTACTTGGAATGTGTGTTTTTCCACCTGAAATTATGAAATTGGCCCAAGACAACAGGTTCCTGAGTACAGAATAGTTCCTGAGTTGCATTGGATCTGTTTATTATTGTTTGCAAACTAGGGAAAGTACAATTCCGATCATTCACTGATTTCCATGTTCATAGGACCCGATTACCAAGGAGGTGATAACATGACACTGAAACATTCTGGAGCTGAAGAGGAGATGTACAAGAGGTAAGACATGCTTGCTCAAGCAATCTGTTTTGAAATATTCCCCTGCGAAAACTTGACCAATATAACTTTCATATCAGAGAAGTACTATCCTGTTGTGTTTTCTGTGGACAGTATGGTAGATTTTCTACTAAAAAATCTGCAGTTTGATTTCCAAAATTTACACCCATAGCTGTCCTCTTCAGCCATTTGACCCTTAGTCAATACTTAACAAAAGATATTATCTATTATTTATTTAATGATTGTTTGTGGCAACTTGGTGTGCACAAATGGCTTCCTATTTATGGCATCAGAAAAATGACAGCACATCAAAAGGAGAAAATAATTATTTGATTGTGAGGTGATTTGCAACAATTGGGGCATTAGAAATATAATGTTCAGGTTCTTTGTGTGATCTCTGCATAATTTTTGTAAAGAAAAATTAAAGAAACATATTAATGTATCAGATAATAATACTTTGATTCACTTAAGTACAGAGTACTGGGCTAATGGTAAGATTCTTGGTAGTGTGGATGAGCAGAAAGATCTCGGTGTCCATGTGCATAGATCACTGAAAGTTGCCACCCAGGTTGATAGCGTC